GCTAGCAATCTGAACATATTAAAATCAACAATAAGACCAAAGGTCTGAGGTGGAACTACAGCCCAATGTTCGGAGGCATTCCGGATGACAACAGTATGATATGGTTTAGCCATTGGGAAATTGGGCATCTTTTGATGGAAGGTGGCGATAAAATGAATCTCTCTGCGACTTTTGATGAGATTTTTCAGGTAAAGGAAGTTATAGTCCAGATTGTGTATGATGAGTGTGAAGAGAAAGGCATTCAACACCACAATGCCCATCCTTCTCATCACAATGTCATGAATGTTGGAGATTTATCCGAATATCATGTAAGAACAGGCTCATACTTTCTATGCCATCATTGCTATGATATCCATCAAGACTACCACCAAGACGGTTGGTCGCCTGAGACAGACAAGATTTTATTTGAGAACTCTGAAGAAACAACAGGTGATTGTATCTTTTCATTTGATAAATATGATTAGTACATAAAAATCATATCACTGATAGCAAATAAGCATAAATAGTGATTGTAGTTGTTGATGTGAGTTGTTGGTAATCAAGGGAATGCTATCAAAATCTGTAATTTTATTTCAACATTTATTCCGATCTGATGTGCAGGGTTTACAGATGAAGAATGAAGAAAAGAAGATAGAAAGGAAGGATAATAGCAAAAGGGTGACTTGCTGCTGGCAATGGCTGCGACGAGAACATTAGTAAACTCCCTTTTTCTTTGATATGTTTTTGTTTTACTCAATTTTATTGATTATTTGCAATAATAACCCTTGTGTTATTCTAGCGCATCTTCAATCCTTCATTTTATTTATGGCATCTATCTTTAAGAAGATTGAAGAAGAATTCTAATATGAAATTTGTAGTGACATTCCTACTGCACTGTGGGACAGAAAGAAACATGTAGTTTCTCTTCTGTGAACCCGATTTTGATGAACGCCATATTCCGACTAAGGCTAGACCTAGTATGAAATCTGAGTACTTGGAATTATGAAGAATTGAAATTGATAGTCTTCTTTAGAAAAAGCTCATTAGACCTAGCTACTCTCCTTGGAGTTGTATAGCATTTTATGTTAATAAAAATGCAGAACAAGAAAGAGGTGTGACAAGATTGGTTATTAATTATAAACCTCTTAGTAATGCCCTCAAATGGATAATATATCTAATTCTGAATAAGAAAGGTATTTTAGATTGACTTTAGGATACTGTCATTTTTTCTAAATTTGACTTAAAATCTGGATATTGGCAAATCAAAAAAATGAACGATTTAAATAATTGAGATAGGATCCATAATGGGTCGCACAAGCCTGAAAAACATAGTCTAGTCCAAGACAACGTACTGCCCTTATTCATTAATAGTGACTTCATTTGGGATGTGGGTTGACTTTTTGACTTTTTGATATTTTCGCTATTTTAGCCTGGGGCTAAAAAGTCTCATTTGGGTTAGACTTTTGACTTTTTTGACTTTTGTTAGAGAAAAAATAAAATGATTATGGTTTGGATGTGACATTTTGTTTTATTGACTTTTTAAGCTATTTTATTTTTTTTGTTGCTATTTTAGCTTTAAAGCCCCAAAACCCTTTATGCCAAATGAGGGCTTTATTTAAAAAATAATAATAAGGAAAATAATATATAAGTCTATTTTTTTTAACTCACTTTTTAGATTTAATGATGTATAAGTGACATGATTGATTGATAATTATAGAAAATATAAAAAATATTACTTTAAATATTCTAATTAATTGTCATATTATTAAATTTAAGAAATACCTCTAATTTTTAAATTTAAATAATAATGTTTTAATAAGAGTTAGTTGATTTGACTTCGACTTTGAAATTTTTTTTTAATAGTTTTTTCGAGTTTTGCTTGTTTGGTTAGTGACTCAGTGTGGATGCAGCTATCGTGCTTGTGTATTCCCACTCTCTTTTTCTCGGCATCATCATGTAGGCCCACCCTCTTTAATTCGAGAAGTTATTGTGTATTCCCTCTTTAAATTTGATAGAGGGAATAAATTTGCTTTCAATAATTGGGGAATATGAGGAATATAATAAATTATAATTTGTAAAAAGTAATATCGTCGCGTAACATCATTAATAATTTTTCCTTTAATTTCCTGCCTGCACTTCTTTCATTATGATTCGACCACAAACCCTCTTTTGTCAATTATAAATAAATTTGTTGAGATTTGATTAAAATATAAATAATTTTTTATGATTTTAAAAATTACATTCTACCGCGTGTGGTTTTTAATTTCATAACAAATTGTCATTTTTATTAATAAATCATCAAGTTAATTAATCATTTTTAATGATATTAGAAATATGTTTCAATTAATAATTTAGGTCATTTTGTTATTGTATAGGAGAATAATTATGAATTTCATTTTTTTTAGTTAATTTTGTTAAATAAAAAATTCTAATAGGGAATATTTGTAATTTTCCAAATCACAGAGAACAATCTGTATTTTAAGCAAATCTCAGGAGGTGTATTTGTAATTTACCTATTTTTTATTATCAAACTTATGCTCTTTTAAAATTTATATTTTATATTTAAATAATTTTTAACTTATATCTGAAATATATTTTCAAAACATGATTATGGCTTTTTTAATAAAGTAATTGGAGTCGAAAATACCATTTTAAATTATATATTTAAAATATAAATTTACAAAATAATAAATTATATAGAAAAAAAATTCAAAATAATTTTAAGTAACAAAATTATATGATACACACCTTAAAAAAGACATGTATCATACGTTCACTTATAATTTTTGTGATTTTTAATTATGATAAATAAAATTTTCTTTGTTGCTCAATATATATATATATATTTTGTGTGTGTGGGGGTCTTTGTTATGACTTTATTTGGGCTCAATAGAGTGTTAGTTATGATTTATTGTGATTGTTATGCCTTAAGTGATGTTTGGTTGTAACTTTATTTATTTATACTTTTTTGGGCAAAATAGAATTAATATTGATGAAAGAACATGAAGTACAATTTGATCAGGTTATTGGTTATGACTTATTTTAGTATTGATTATGATTTTTTTTTTGATAACCGAGTATCTGGGCCAGCACCCCTTCGGAGTGACGCACCTCGACTAATCTCGGGGCCCTGAGCCGATCGACCGGGCAAAGACGCAGTGGCCCGCCAGTAGCCAGCTGGGGGTGGGATTCGAACCTAAGACCTAGAGAGGAGCAAACTCCTAGGTCCCTGGTACCTTGCCCTCAACCAACTAGGCTACCCTTGCGGGTTAAACTCAATATTGGTTATGATTTAGTTATAACTCAATATTGGTTATCAGCTATTGTGGTTATTAATTTAATTATGACAAAAAAACAATGTTTGGTTATATCTTAAATTAGATTTAGTTATGACTCATTATATTTTTTTTTTGTGTTATTAGTAAAAATAATTTAATTACAATATTTATCGTATCAATATTACAAATTATCATAATGTATATACACACCAAAAAAAAAGAGTGAATTATAAAAGGAAAATGCTTCGGTCTACAATGCACATCGTATGCGACCCTATTATAAAATTACGTAAGTTAAATATAAATTCGAGTAAGTTTGTGAAAATTTAAGACTTATGCAAATTTATATTCAATTTATCATATTTTTGTGAAATCATAAGTTCTTGAAAACTTAGGTAATTTTATGATAGGATTGCATACGGTGTGCATGCATACCGGAAAATTTTTCATTATAAAATGATATTTTTAAGTTTAGAAATATGAAAAATATACCATTTTTAAGTTTAGAATTATGTAAATTCGAGCTACCAAATATTTTTATTAAATATAAATTTGACAAAAGTCGAACCTTAACGTTAGTCAGTCCACAAGGTTGACTTATTCCTTTACCAATTTGCTGCGCCAGACAAATTTTACTCTTCACCCTTGCTTGGTCTGTCTTCATTCTGTCGTTGTTTGATCTCTAACACTAAAAAGCGCTCAATCCAAATCTTAGGGACCTTTCAACAGCAAAAACAGGTAACCTTTCAATTACAAACAACTCATCTTTCCCACTGTCATTATTCATCAGTTACTAAATTTTTACCAATTTTTTCATCAAATCAAGCCAAAAACACACCAAATTTGATGAAAGAAGCTTTTGGGAAAAGCTTGGTGAAGTTTTTAAGTAAGTGAGGATAGGAGCATTCAATTTTTTCACCAAACTAAGCTTTTAGTTAAATTTGATGGAAAGCTATTGGAGCATCCCATACTTGTAAATTAAGCTTTTAACCAGTTTTTTTTACTCAAATTTGATAAATAATTTAAAAAAATAAAATGAAGGATTGGAGATGCTCTAGTAGATATTTGTTTGTTCTTGTGTTCATCTTGAGTTGGGTTGGTAGTTTTCATGGTTAATTTTGCGGTTCAGAGAGTTACTTCTTTGAGAAATTGTATGTAGCATTCCTTCAGTTATATCATGTAAGGGTTTGCCCAAAGTCAAATGGCCTCCTCTTCCACGCCGCCTCAATGCACTTATCATGTGTTCTTGAGCTTCAAAGGCGAAGACACACGCAAGGCCTTCACTGACCACCTCTACACAGCATTATTAGGTTCGGGTTTTCGCACATTTAGAGATAATGATGGTATTGAGAGAGGTGAAAATGTTAAATCAGAACTAGACAATGCAATAAGAGAATCAAGGAGTTCAATAATTGTGTTTTCCAAAGACTATGCTTCTTCCAGATGGTGCCTTGATGAACTTGTGATGATCCTTGAACACAAGAGGACATCAGGACATGTAATTTTACCCGTCTTCTATGATGTGGATCCTTCCCAAGTTAGGAAACAAATGGGGAATTTTGCGGAAGCATTTGGTAGACACGAAGAGCGATTCATGAGGGAAACTAATGAAAGGAAGAAGGAATACCTGAGGAAGAAGGTGGAAGAATGGAGGGCAGCACTTAGAAAAGTTGCTGATCTAGCAGGGATGGTCTTGCAGAATCAAGCTGACGTGTAATTTCCTCATATCTTTATTGCTTAGACTTCATTTGGTAATGCATTATGAAACTGTTTTTGAGTTATTAAAAACTGTAATATTCATTATTTTGTTTTAATAAGAGTTCGCCACCTAGTGCTGTGGCAAGTGCTATCCCACCTCAGACTTGTTTGTGGTTGTGTGGATTTGAGTTACGGGAATCAGTCTCTCTACCAAAAAAGTGGGGCTGAGGTACCGTCAAACATATATAAGTGAACAACATATATGTTAATATACTTTATACAAAAACATGTGCCGGTAGAAGTTGATTATTGTGATGATAGTTGCCATTGTGGTAAAAGTTTTTAGGAATAGCCCTTTTGCATAAATATTGCATATCATTTTATTTTGGTGGGCAGTTGTGTGTTTAATTTGTAGTGGAGTCTTCTTCTTCTTCTTCTTCTTCTTCTTCTTCTTCTCTCTCTCTCTCTCTCTCTCTCTCGACTGATTGTTGAAGTCTTTCCCAAAATAGCACAACAATTAAGCGAGTAGAGAAATCCTATTATGCTTTTTCTATAACGTTCCTTGCTTGGCTAGCCTATTCTTTAATTCAAAAATTGTCTTGTTCTTTTATTCAAAATTATCTTGCACAACCACAAATTTTGTGTAATCGCATTTTCTTATCAAGCTTTGGACAAACTATTTGGTATTTTCCATTATTTATGCAAGTAGTTTAGTATTATTTTAAGTCACGGCATGCTTATCGTGCTTTACTTTCCACTTATCTGCAACTTGCAGGCGCATGAGGCAAAATTTATCCAAAAAATTGTCAAAGTGATTGAGGATAAGTTGAACCGCACAGTCTTAAATGTTGCCCCGTACTTAATTGGAATAGGATCCCGAGTCAAAAACATTAGTTCGTGGTTACAGGATGAATCAACTGATGTTAGCATAGCAGTGATTTATGGAATGGGTGGAATAGGGAAAACAACCATTGCCAAATTTGTTTATAATTTGAATTTTGAAAGATTTGAAGCTAGCAGCTTTCTTGCAAATGTTAGAGAAATTTCAGAACGATCCAATGGTTTAATTCGTTTACAAAGGCAACTTCTTTCAGACATTTTAAAAAGGAAAAAGGAAAAAATAAGCAGTGTTGATGAAGGAATCATTAAGATTAAAGATGCCATTGGTTGCAAAAGAGTTCTTGTAGTTCTTGATGATGTGGATCAGCGGGACCAGTTTGATGCAATAATTGGAACGCGCAATTGGTTTCATCCAGGAAGTAAAATTAGCTTAACCACCAGGCACAAGCAACTGTTAAAGGCTAATGAAGTTTATATGATGCATAAGGTGGAGAGATTTGATGATGATGAATCATTAGAGCTTTTCAGTTGGCATGCCTTTGGACAAGACCATCCCATTGATTGTTATGTTGAGCATTCAAAAAGGGTAGTACAACACTGTGGAGGCCTTCCTTTAGCTCTTCAAGTTTTGGGTTCTTCTCTATCTGGGAAAAGCTTAAATATATGGGAAAACGCAATAAAAAAATTGGCAGCTATTCCTGATTCTCAAATTCTAAAAAAGCTGAAAATAAGCTATGATTCTTTACAAGATGACCATGACCAAAATCTATTCCTTCATATTTCCTGTTTCTTTATTGGAAAGGGCAAAGATTTCACTATTAGAATCCTAGATGAATGTGGTTTCTACCCAACAGTTGGGATTCAAAATCTCATTGACAGATGTCTCTTAACGATTAATGAACAAAACAAATTGATGATGCA